GGAGCAGGCAGCTCGCACAAAAATTGCTGGGGATGTTCCTGCCCCTGTGCCCAGGGGAGCCCCACCTGCAGAGCTGCCCCAGGATGGGCAGAGGGATGGAGCAGCTCTGCTGGGACACCTGGGGGTGCTCACCTGGACAGGAGAAGCTTTGGGGTGACCTCAGTGTGGCCACACAGGAACTGAAGGGGCCAACAAGAAACAGAGAGAGAGATTGGGGACAAGGGATGGAGGGACAGGAGCCAGGGAATGGCTCCCAGTGCCAGAGGGCAGCGATGGATGGGATTTTGGGCAGGAATTGTTCCCTGTAGGGTGGGCAGCCCTGGCACAGGGTGCCCAGAGAAGCTGTGGCTGCCCCTGGATCCCTTTGAGTGCCCAAGGCCAGGCTGGACATTGGGGACAGTGGGAGGTGTCCCTGCCATGGCAGGGGTGGCTCTGGGTGGGCTCTGAGGTCCCTTCCAACCCACACCAGTCTGACTTCTGTTGACATGGGACAGAGAAAGAGAGGAGCAYCAGGCAAACCTGCTTTGCTCACGTTCAGCTGAACAAAGTGTAACTGCAGTGGCAGGAGGGGAGACTGGGGGAACACTGCTAAAGGAAATGGTGCAGTGGGAGCAGTGCTGGAATCCCATGGGAATTGAGCAGAGGTGGAATGGAATGGAATGGAATGGAATGGAATGGAATGGAATGGAATGGAATGGAATGGTTATGAGTGTGTCTGACATGAGTGTAAGAGAGAGAGGAGCAGGTGGGTATTATTTGTGACAAGATCTGCCTTTCTTTTCCTTGAACCAGTACAATCATGACTGGATCTTACAACAACTTCTTCCGGACGTTTGAGCGGGACACGCTCCGGGACAGCACCCTGGAGGCCTCCCGGGAGAGCAGCAAACCTCGTGCCATCCTAAAGCCACGCAAAGTGTGCACAACYGGCAAGAGAAAGAAGGATGAAATTAGCGTTGACAGTCTGGACTTCAACAAGAAGATTCTGCACACGGCGTGGCACCCCATGGATAACATCATTGCTGTAGCTGCCACCAATAACTTGTATTTATTCCAGGAAAAGATGAACTAAGGATGGCTGCCCGCAGACAGAGTCTCGTCTCAATAGTTCAGCTCAGTTGTTTATCCGTAAAAGAAAGGCCTTGTTGTCCTATCAGTGAGGAACATTGATGCACTTACTTCCCTTGAGCTAACGGAGAGCATCTGGCCTGGCTTTGAGTTCCTGGTGTGGTTCTGCCTTCGCTGGGGGGGAGCGTCCACGTGGCTTTGGGGGAGAACCCTCCGAGGCAGGATTGGTGGACAGTGCTCAATGAGGCCAACACTCAAAACAAATGTATTTATTGATGTCTGAGCCTTCCTTTCCAGTTTATAGACCAAAAAAAATTTAACACCTGAGAAGAAAAAGTTGTCATAAAAGTGTAATTTCTCTCTCTCGCTCTCTCTGCTGTAATATTGGCCTTTCAAAACATTTCTCGTGCTTGATGCCTGTACATTCCTCCTCGGGCCTGGGGCCAGGGTGTGACCTCAGAGCACTGCGCTAGGGCTTGAGTTGGGGTCTAGGCAGGTGTCCATGACTATTTACTCACCAACTGTACCTATAACCACACCTTCAGTGGAAACCACTTAATAAATAACAGCCTATCAAACGTGTTCTTAGAGCTGGAGGGATGTATTCAGTCTTCTTTTTGTATTGCATGTCCTGAGCTGGTGCAGAACAGTTCTGGTGGCACCTCTGACAGAGTTTGCCCCAAAACACCCGAGTTTTTGGCAGACTAATACGAACTTTTGTGTAGTATTTCAGATTCTAAATTTAGAGTTTCCATGGCATTGTCATAGAGTTGGAGTTGCACTGGATTTGTTGTCAAAGGCTCTGTGTGTGCCAAGTAGGAGATGGAAAGGGTCCTAGAAACATCCACAGCCTTAACCAAGTGTCGGCCTTGCACGGAGGGAACCAAAACATCAACACCTTCTCTGCTTTGAGGATAAAAATGCAGCTTCTCTGGTGCATCTCGCCCTCAGCCGGAGACAGACCTGACGTGCATTATGGTTTTTAACGTTTTTAGTATTTGTCACGAAGGGAACAGTTTATTTTAAATATTTGGCGTAGTCTCTTGTATTTCCCACAGCAGTTCCAGAGCAAGTCCGGGCTGTGCCACCCAGGATGGGCCATGCCAAGCCCGAGCTGGCGGGACAGCGGCTGCTGGAGCTCCGTTGCTGACTTGTTTTAAGCCTTAGGTACTGTTTCTTTTCTTGTTTTTTTTCTTCCAAAGAGGCCTAAATCACATCCCCTTCCCCCGGATGAGCCCAGGGCCCAAAGGCCCCGGCGCTGCCAGCAGGTCCAGCAGCCCCCAGCAGCAGAGGCTGCGCTCTGCCATGTGCCTGCAGCCTGGGAATGCCGTCCCAGAGCCCCGAGCTTTCCCCCAGCACGTCCCAAGTGTGGTTACACTCCGTTTGCCCCGGAACAAAGGGCTCTTCCAGTCCCAAGAGCAAACCATGCCCGTCCCGCCCCTCCCGGTACTGCCCCCCGAGCCACTGGGTCCCAGGAAGGTGGGAAGGACAAAGCCTGAGGTTCTACCAGCAAAGGTGCAGTTGGTTCAGTCCTGTCCTGCACGGTGGTGGTGACACTTTGGAACTCTGGAGATGTGGAACTGGGGGGTCGCCGAAGCGTTGATCCGACCGCGTTCCCAACGCCTGCTCGAGCCGATCCGTGGGGTTGTACATAATTGTTCAGTTCTTTTGACCAAAAAGTTTAATAAATTTTAAATGTTTACCTGGCTGTGCTCCCTGTTTTGACATTTCCTTCCATGTGGGAGGGAATTGGCTGGATGGGCCTGCCCAAATGGTTCTATTTCCAGTTGAGATGATTGGTTTGGAGTGGCTCCGTGCCACAGCAGTGCTGCTGCTGTGGATCTGGTTTTTCACAAATATAAGTGGAATATGGGTGTAAGCAGGTAAAAAGAATACGATGCCCTGKTTGCTTGTTCCACTTTTATTTAGTTTACTATTCTTATAGAACTTCCATTYATTTTATCTAAAACCMGATTTTAGTGTCAAGTTTGATRAAACTGCTGCYTRCTGGAGCAGCCTGGTCTRGTGAAAGGTTGTGCCCCCCATGGCAAGGGATGGAACTTGGAYGGGCTTTAAGGTCCCTCCCAACCCAAACCCTTCTGGGACTGACTGTGCCCCATGGCCTTGGGCAGAGTCCCACCCGTGGGAGCTGCATCCACCCACAGCAGGTCAAGGACACGGGCTCGGTCCCTCGGTGATTATCACACCATGAAATTCTAATTAAAATCCRCATCTATGAGTGAGTGTGGAGCATTTCAGCACCTCAGCCCTCACTGCCAGAGCAGCAGCCAGTGCTGCAAGGGAGCTGGGGGACAGCAGAGTGGAAAAGGGACACAGTAATTCCACCCCATCCATCCCCAACCACAGCAGTGCTGCACACCCCAGTGTTGGCTCCACTCATTTGCTGCTCTGTCCCACAGGAAATGAACGCAGCACTGGAGCATTCGGGGACTCTGATCCCACCTTTGCTTYGGGCTTGGGCTGCAGCCTCAGGGAGAGCTTTGGGTTGGAGATGAGGAACAATTCCCTCCTGGAAGGGCTGTCCAGCCCTGGCACCGCTGCCCCAGGCAGGGCTGAGTGCCCATCCTGGAGGGTTTCACAGCCCCGTGGATGTGGCACTGGGGACACGGGGCAGTGCTGGGGATGGTGGGACTCAGTGGGCTCACAGGGCTTTTCCAGCCTCAGCAATTCCATGGTTTTCAGCTCCTCAGGAGCATCACCCCRTGTGTGTGTGTGCAGTCAGTGCAGGCTTCCCAAAGCCTGACAGCAGCAGGGCCACGCCTGAGCTTGGTCTGGTGCTGTTGCTATGGAAACTTCTCAATTCTGTGTCCAGTGTGAAAGGGACACGTGGAGGCCAAGAGCCTCATCAGCCCCTTCCAGCCATTACTGGAAAAAAAGGAACGAGGAAAACTCTGAGTTCACCAGGAACCTTTTTATTTAAATATATAAAACATGGTATTTTGGCAAACATTCATTTTCTCATTAAATAAGGTAAAATCACTGAAGGGAAAGGCATTGCATCAGTAAAAACCAAGGAGAAGCCACCCTTTAGTTCATCTATGCAGGSCTGGGGTCAGGTGCACGTTTATAGGGGACAGGTAAAGCCTGGGAAGTGACAGCCTGCGCTAGGTACAGCAGAGAACGTTAAATTGGGGGTTAAATGAATGTCCTGGCAAAAGCAGCTTTTATTAGGCACTAAATCCAAATTCTACCTCTGAACTAGGACAAACTGATGGAGTTTTACCCTGTGCTCATCTCTTCCCACCGTCTCTCAACACTTTACACCTCCCACCAAAGTGAACTCAGCGCTGGCARTTCCCGTACGGTCGGTAAGGCCACTCGTAGTTGGGGCAAATCCCTCGCTGTGGGGGCTGCAGCAGCGATGCCATCGCCACCCATGGGCACAGGATGGGCACGGCCCAGCACGAGAGCTGTGCTACTCAAAGCCGGGCACAGGATGGGCACGGCCCAGCACAGGGGCTGTGCTGCTCAAAGCCCGGCCCAGCACAGGGGCTGTGCTGCTCAAAGCCC